CTGCCTTGAGTGTGACAGGGGACGGTGCCCCAACCCCCCAATCAGCCCTACCCTGAGCGTGACTGAGGGTGGCGTCACAACCTCCCAATCTCCCTACTCTGTGCATGACGGGGTGGTGCCCCAACTCCCCAATTGGCCCTGCTCTGAGCCCGACCAGGGGCCGCACCTAGGTATTGGGCCTGCCCTCTGCCACCCGGGAGCAGGCCTAAGCCAGCAGGGCGTTATCTCCCGAGGGGTCCCAGACTGCGAGAGGGCACAGGCCAGGCTGAGATACCCCCCTCCCCGCCGAGTGCACAAATTGTTGTGCACCGGGCCCTAGTTAATAATAATAAGGAACACTCCAGTTGCCCGCCAGCAGTGGGTGCCTCCTTGCCCCAGTGCACTTGCTTCTCTGGGTATTGCCTCCCTCACAGGCTTTCACAGAAAGCGAGCAGCTGTGGGTCCCTGCACTGGCCAGGGCCTCCATGCCTCCTGGTTGGGGAGACGTTGCTCCCCGCTCCTGAAAGGGCACACAATGACATGGCTACCTTCTGGAAGGGGGAAGGGAAAACAAACTGAAATCTCCCCAAGTCACCCTCCCACACATGTGCTGTGCCATTTACAAAAATTATCCTCTTTTTAATATATTTTTATTGATTTTAGAGAGAACAGGAGAAGGAGTGAGAGATAGAGACAACAATGATGAGAAAGAATCATCCATCAGCTGCCTCCCTCACACCCCCTACTGGGGATCGAGCCAGAAACCCGGGCATGTGCCCTGACCAGAAATCAAACCGCCACCTTCTGGTTCATCACCGGCTGGGCTACAAAAATTATCTTAAGTCCAGAGGCAACCAGAATAGGACATGAGCCACAAACTCCATTTGTGCTCAGCAGACATATTCTTCCTCCTGTGCTCGGCACTGAGCAGGTGCGTCCTCGGCTGGTGCTTCTCCACGGAGGCGGAGATTGGGCTGGGTTGAGCCGCGCCAGCGCTCCAGGCCTGTCCCCGGGAGCTCGCAGCCTTGAGGACACATGGCAGCCTTGACTGGCAGCAACCACCTCAATAATCGGTGGAGCTGGAGGCCGCACTGAACGGCACTTCCCAGTGGGGCCAATCCACGACCAGCGTCCTTTCCGGGACACCCTCCCGGGTGAGGTGCAGTGCCCCCCCTCCCCTCCCTGGCTGCCTGCAGGGTGGGTCCTGCTCTTGGTTCTCGGGGATACTGGACAGAGCTGAAGACTCACTGACACCAAGTGGGACTTTGTTTCACCGAAGGGGAGGTGGGTGGAAAGGGGCAGCTGTGGCCGAGTCTGCGTCGGGAACCAGGCCAGCCTGTCTGTGTCTGGACCCCAAGACCCAGGTCCCAGGAAGAAGGAGGCAAGTGCGTGCTGACCGAGGCTCAGATGACTTGGAGCCAGGGACCTGCTGCCCAGGTGGAGGGTGCCTGGGCACCTGGTGGTCAGAGGGAGTCCCAGTGTGAGCACCCCATAGGCAGAGCACCCCCTCCAGGACCTGGGGAAGGGGGAGGGAGGCAGGTCATGGTCCCCATGGGAACCCTCTCGGCCCCTGGAGCCTGTGCAGAGCTCTGCTCACTGGGGTGGAGGGTCGCCGGAGCTGACCCCACTCCCGGCAGGATGCTGGAAGCCGTGGTTGACGTAGGTGCCGTTGGCCCAGCTCTCCGGGAAGGAGTGCTTTTTGCAGGAGGCTGTCCTGGCTGCAGCCGCCTCCTCTGCCCGCTTCTGCTCCAACACCAGAGCCATGTTGATGTCAGGCCCTGCAGAGGGACAGACAGAGGAGTCGTCACACGCCTTCCCCGCATGGGTGCTCCCACACTGCCTGGGCTCCTCCGGGGAGCGGGCCTGCGGGAGGGGCCTCACGCACCCAGGTAGCTCAGGACGACCGGCAGGAAGACCAGGCCGTGCAGCAGGCCCAGCAGCGTGATGAGGAGGTTGAGGCGGAAGAAGAAGATCTGGATGAGCTGGGCCTTCGCCAGGCCCAGGATGAGGATGCCGGGCAGGTTGGTCATGGCCACGCCAGCGAACACCTAGGGCCGCACACAGGTGTCAGGCTGGGCATGCCGCAGCTGGCCAGTCTCTGCGGCCGCCCACCCACTCACCGCACTGCCCATGGAGATGGTGGCCTCCTTGGCCCTCTCCAGCCGGGTGGGCTTGGTGCTGACCGCAAAGGACCGGGTGATGTGGGACACGAACTCCACAGAGATGCCCACGGCCTGCGGGCAGAGAGGGGGCATCAGTCTCCACAGGCCTGGGTGGGGTCTCCGCCAGGCCAGCGGGCAGAATGGGGACCCTGAGAGAAGGGGCACGCTCCAGGAGGCCCGGGTCTGCGCTCACCGTGACCAGGTTGATGAGGGAGACGGCGTTGTAGCTGATGCCCCACAGGGCCATGAAGCCCACGGTGTCCACCAGGATCATGAGGATGGAGAAGAGGTTGATGAGGCCGGAGCGGAGGTCCATGCCCAGCAGCAGGCAGCAGACGGCAAAGGTGGGCACCAGGCAGAGGCTCAGCATGAAGAGCCCCTCGGGCACCACCGTCAGGTACTGCTCGTAGAACACGTTGGTGATCCTGGGGGTGCAGGCACTGTCACGCGGCGCCCCGCCCCCACACCCACCTCAGGAGGAGCGCCCAGCTCAGCAGGGGTGCGGGGCGGCCTTCCCCAGGTCCCTCCCTGCTGCCCACTGCCCGCCCGCCTGGGCCTCACGTGTAGGGGAAGACCTCGAAGGCCGGGT